AAAAAAAAGTATAAAAGTAGATAAAATTAATTAATACATGAATAAAAAAAGTAGAAATATTATTAAAAAAATTAATTAATAGATTAGTTTGTAAATAAACTTATTCTATTTTTTTCATTTATAAATAATTTTTTTTAAAGAGTTGTATAGAATAAATAGACGCAAGCTCCCATGTAAACTTGTACTTAATGCATTTGTCAGTCGAGACAATAAATTACAAAATGTTATCAACTAATAATATTTAATTACCGTTATTAATTTTTAACAAATAACATGGTATTTTGATTCTAATATTAATTTACTGAGTTAGTACACTTAGTTAAACGAAAATATCTTATAACTCACAAAATACAGAACGTCCATTTTACTGAAAACTAAAAGCTATCAGCATTACATTCTTCAACACATCTTTTTGCTTATTAATTTTATTACATAAATTACATAAATTTCATTTTATAAATCTACTAAATAAATGATATTGGTGTATATTTGCGTGTTCTGCAAAAAAAATGGTTAAATATTTTTTAATACTCAAATTTTGACCTTAAAATTAAAATTAATTTATATTCAAATTTTTTAATTAATTATATTAATTTTTTATGTGTCAAATATATTTTTTGGTTAACGAAAATATACTAAACAATGTAGGTAATATAAATACTAACTAAAAGACCTTTTAACATATAAAAAGATTAATATAATTAAATTAAGAGAACTATTTTTTTAATTTAAAAATTAAAATATAAAATTTTAGAGATTAAACCTTATTTAAAAAAATTAGAAATAATTTTTGAATTATTTTAAAATAACAAAAAATCAATGGACGAAATCAAAATTTACCCATTATATTTGAAATCTTATTAAATTATTTGTTTGACTTTTGCTCTGAAGTGTCCAACACAAACTAAACTCTTATGCTTAATGATGACATCAATAAATTTTAATAATTGTTTCATTGCCCAACACAAACTAAACTCTTGATTAAGGGTTGACAAAGAAACCTAATAATTGTATCAATCTAGTAGATATAGTAATCATGCTTAACTAATGTGGTTCAGCAAAAAAATCTAAAATCATCTTTGTCATTCTTAAAATTTATTATGCTGAAACACAAATAACACCAAAATCATTTATATGAAATAACACATTAAATTAATTCTCAAAAGCAAGCACAAGTTAACTTGATTTAAAATTTAATATTAAATACCACTTTGAAATGCAAAATAAGAATAATAAAATAATTAACATTTATTAACTTCAATAATAAAGTAACATTTTTTTATAGTTTTAGGTTAATTTTTATAATTTAGAAACTATTAAACCAATTGGCGAGTGACAGATAAAAATTATCCCCCATGAGCAGAGGAAAAACACTCTGTATTGGCCCAAAAAATGCAGCTAAAGCCTTTAACCGTCCAGATTGACAAGAAATTGAAACTCAAGGTAAATTATTTTTATTAAACATGACATTAATACGGAATTATTTTTATTTGTTCTTTTGTATTCTATCTCCATTGACATTTATTATTTCTTAGGATTAGGTGTTTTTTCAATGAATAATAATCTAAGACAAAGTTAAGGGAAATAAATTTCATGGAAGACAATGTTACATTTACTTCATTCTCCATCATAACTTTCCCAATCTTTCACTCGTTAAAGGAAATATTAACACACCAACTCAAGACTTGTACTGTAATAGTAACACAAACAAATCAATCCCAGCGTATACTATTATGCTATACGAATTCCCCATTCACTTTAGAACAGAAAACGATGAAGGGCCAAAGACAAAAGCATGATTGCTACCCGAGTTGCGTCCTCTGATGCATTCCACGTCCAGCACATGCGAATGATCAATGCAGAGGTTCACCTGAACAAACCGGAAAAATAATGCCAAAATCTGTTATATAGGTTTTTTATTCTTGTCTAGTAACTGTAACTAAATAAAATTATTTAGTTGAGCATTACCTTTGGACTATATTGTCTGATGAACCACTCAGAGATTCTCTGATTTGATGCTTCAAACATAGTCTTCTCAAGACCAAGGCGCCCTATGATCTTGGCAACAATATCTCCACGCATCTTATCAGCATGTTGGCTAACACCCAAAGCATCAATCATTATCATGTCCGCATCTTCTTTTAGACATCTCTCAGCCTTTCTGATTAAGAGGTCCACATCTTCTACAAATTCTGAGGAAAAAAAATTCAATCAAGGTTTAACCAATACATTGCGCTGATTCTACATTTTTCATTGCTAATCAACCTTCGGTAGTGACTGAGAATTTCACAAAACACCATTCAAAACAAAATATAGTAGCACTTAAAACTATTAATATGTCCAGCATCAACGTATTCAAATAAAGATATGCAATACGGTGCTGGACACCCACCTCCCCCTCCCCCCATTTGATGCTATATACATTGACAAAGTGAAGGAATCCGTAATAGGCATACGTTCATCCTTCTGATTAAGAAATTTATCCAAATTGGAACCAAAACCCCTTTCAACTTCTAAATTTAAATTTGATCTTCCGTGTGAACTTTCTTACGACAAAGTTCATATATATTTGTTAATAAATTGATGGAATTTAGGAACAAATTCACAATATATTTGTATCATAATCTAGATTTTAGTTGACAATGCATGTCATTTGATTGGGAACCAAGCCTCAATTCATCATTCGACACTTGATGAAGTTATATGCATTGTATTTCCCTTAAAAAAGGAACAGCCAGTCCATGTATGATACATTATTTAACAATAACATATCATATCATATCATATCATCTCTGTCAACATCGAATTAGTGAATCCCCTTGCGGCACTCACGAAAATTATATCAGCAAGCAGTATTAAAAATAGGTTTTACAATAATGATGTAAAACAGTTAATAATCTCATCCAAGCACTAATCTTTATATGTAGACTTGTTAATTACTCATTAACTATCTTTAAAGTAATACCATTAAACTCCTAATATAATATCACGTCACTTGTTATGTATAGAATTTTACTCTCTTAGTATACCTTATTGGTACAATTCAGATTCCAGAATTCAGTATCCCTAAGAAGGCCTAAATATGTTTAATACCACCTTGAAAGAGAGAGAGACAGGCACGTACACAAAATGCAGAGTTAAATGTCCTTACCAGATGATCTAGGTTCTGGGGGAATATAAGCTCCATAGGCCCTATCACCACCTTTGGGAATATCAGACTCGTTAAACCTCACTTGAAAATGAGGTCTAGCTTTCAGACCAGCACTTTTGACCAAGCGAACAAATCTCAGAAAGGTTTCTTCAGGAATCCCGAGTGAACCAGCATTAAGCTCAATTGTGTCAAACCCCAACTGCTTGCATTCCTATAATAACATAAAAAATTCATGCAACTAAACCACTACTCCAGCAATCACGAAACAAATCACATCACAAAAAAAACAAAAGCAATAACAAAATTTATTACTGAATAAGCCGGGCAGAGACCTCCACGTATTCTTTGAAATCTGATGGAGTTTTCGGAATCACGTGCTCGTCCCAAACACCAGTACTAACATAAACGCCGTGCTGATGGGCTAGGTCAATCACTTGCTTGATAGTAGCCTTTGGCATCAAGCTGTAAGAATCTCCGGATAACTTCAACCCATCAACATATTCCCCTCTAGATTCAAAAATATCCTGCAATAAACATTCCAAAATAGCACAACTAATTACAGCTAGGTCAATTAATAAAAGAAAATTGTAGCGACATAGGGAACATGGTAATGGATAGTATTGATCAAAAGACAACCTTGTAAGCGGAATTGGAGAAAAAAGAGTGTGACGAAGTGAAAGGAAAATCGTGTTACCTGAAGAAGGTTGTGGGAGAAAGGACTGAAATTGGGGATTGGAATCTCGGTGACGCCGAAACGACGAGGCTTGTCGAGACGATCCTCGTTAAACGCGTACATCTTCTTCCATAGGGACTCAGCCATTGTTAGGTAGTTACGAGAGAGATTCCAGTTCCGTTGTTTCTTAGCTTTGGATTTTCCCTTCCTTTCTCCCAAACGCGATCTATCTTACCTGAGAAAGAAGATAGGAGTAGTTATCGAGAGAACAGGGGAGAATGATGTAGCTGGTTCTAGAAAACGCTTGAAATATAAAGACTGTAACAGGTATTGCTATTCGTCCAACACAAGAACGACGACGCTGCTACACGTGTTTATAATTTAATAATTTAATTAGTTGAAAAAATAAAATTTAATATAATTTAACTTTTTTTAAGTTATGAAATGTTTTTTTTATTCAAATTATTTTGCAATTCGCTCATATCGATGTATGTTGTTTTGTGTTTTTTTAAGTAATAAATGTATATCATATTATTATAAGAGATTTATAAATTGAGGAAATAGAAATGTTAGATGATATAGAGAAAATATAAGGAGTAGATGATTAAAAATATAAAAATTAAAATTAGATAATAAAAGAATGTATAAAGTAAAAGTATTAAAAAAGGAAAACAGTATATTTTTAGAAAATGAAAATGTTAGACAATGCAGAACAATATAAGTGTAGGTTATGTAAAATTTCGGGTATGTATGTTATATAAATAAAGTGCATATTAATGTATAATATGGATATTTTATATTTCTTATAAGATACAATCTTTGATGATATAAGAATAATTTTAAAAGATTATAGTGCATGAGAATTATATTTAAGGTAATTTTCTTATTTTATCTCAGGATTTTACAGGATTATTTAAGTTTGAAATTTTAAAAGATTTTTACAAACAGAATAAAAAAGTTAAAAAAAAATATATTTTTATGTAGATCACTCAGTCAGCCAAAGGACTGGACATCTCGTGAGAAAATAATGGATCAATCTGAAAATTAATTTGAACAATAACAATTATTAATGAGCAGTTAATGAAAATAATAATCATTGATTCACAATTAATATGAATAATGTCATTTATTAGTGATTAATAAGTCAAACATAATGGTAGGCTCATTATAATAATTTATAAATATATGTGTGACAAAGATAAGTAATTAACTTTAATTACTAATCTTTATTACAAGATTATTAAGCAAAGTCGCGTGAGAATGTCTTATGCAAGCATTCTCCTTACGGCTAGGACAAAGAAAAGAAAGAGAATGGTGTAACATGGATGATGGAACAGATAACTTTGAATGCTTTGAGTTAGAGATCCCAACCATACCAAAACAATATCTATGCGGGAAAGTAGTTGAATAATAGTTGAATAATTGAGTGAGAGATGATAGAAATTTTTTTCTTAAGAATCATTCACAAAACTTTTGTTTAGAAATAAAAATTTTATTTCAATGTGAATTGTAAATGCATAAAAAATACTTGAATCATTTTAATTAAGAAGTGCTTCAAACGTCTTTAGTGAAAATAACTTCCGAGGATTGTTTATAAATAAATTTTTATTTATAAATAAAAGTATTATTTTAACGAGTCCTATAAATGACTTGTTTAATTTAAAGAAAATGTGTATAAATTGATGAAAGTTGTTCATTATAAATAACTCTGTGTCAATAAAACTTGTATTAAATTGATATTTTTATATTTAAACAACTTTTATTGGAAAAATTGTTTCGATTTACTTGAAACAACTTCGAACTGGTCAAAGGTGACAATCCAAATTTAATTAAAAAAAATAGTTGAAACAATTTACAACAATTAACTTTAAATTAAAAATATAAATTTCTTAATAGTTTGAATTTCTTTAAATTTTTATAATAATACAAATTTGACTATAAATAAGTTAAAATATATTGTTTTCCAAGGAGTGTGGTTGAATGTTTCTTTCCATATCACTCAAGATATTAATTCTAGTGGCCTATCAAATTTATATGTTTTTCAATCCGTTTTAAATGTTTGACTATTTATATATTAATTTAGTGTTAATAAATTTGATGAAGAATTTACTTATATTATGAATCAAAGTTACAAAATTTTTTAAATTATTGATCTCAATCAAGAGTTTCTACATGTCTTTTTGGTGACGATGGATGAATCAAAAAGATAAAAGAATGATAGACGTGTGTGAGGTTCCCTTGGTGACTCTGCTTTCCGTGTCCCTCATGGAAGGAATATTGGAGAAAGGAAAAGAGAAACGAAGAATAAAGTAAACTTGAAGAGGAAAGCAACTTTCACCCATAGATCACAGCTAATTTCATGCATATATCATAATATGCACCAAACCTTTATTCCTATTCCTCTATTAAATATGACACTGCTCCACTATTAAAGTAAGGAGTTATGAACAAGTTATCTGCCTTGCCTTGAATTTTGTGAAAATGGCCCAAAACTATGGCTTCCTTGTCTGCATTCTTGTCTTGGTGTTGGATGTTGCAGCTGGCATACTTGGAATTCAAGCAGAAATAGCCGAAAACAAGGTATATATCCGAATTTTGAATGTTGGTGACAGAAGAGAAGTCTTAGTTATCATGTTTTGCGATGGAAACAGGTTAAGGAGTTGAAGATGTGGGCACTGGAGTGTAGAGACCCCAGCTTCGGAGCCTTCAAGCTAGGAGTTGCTGCTTCCGTTCTCTTGGCCTTTGCTCATGCATTTGCTCACTTGCTTGGTGGGTGCATTTGCATGCGCTCAAAAGAAGAATGCGAAAGAGCCACAGCCAATAGACAATTAGCAGTGTCTTTTTTCTTGTTATCATGGTATATATGTCTTTTACAACACGACATATCATATGTTACCATGTTGATACTGAAGTGGTGTTGATTGATTGCAGGATGGTTTTGGCAATTGGTTTCTCCTTGCTGATATTAGGGACCTTAGCCAACTCAAGATCAAGAGAATCGTGTGGAATGTCAAATCGTCGTTTTCTATCGATTGGAGGGATTTTGTGCTTCGTACATGGGTTGTTCACCGTTGTCTATTATGTCTCTGTAACTGCCACAAGGAGGGAAGAAAAGAGACAAGGAAACCCCATTGTTAGCCACCCTTAAACACCATTCTCTTTCTTATACCATCACACCATCATTAGATAAGAAATGTACCATTTAACTTCTGATTTTCATTACACTGTTACATGAATGAGTAATCACTTTATTGTTTAGTAGACTTCCATATTTTTAGGACTCAATGCTTCATGACTGTGTTATACTTTTCTTAAATTAGTAACTCAAATCTTTAGTTGTAATAATGTAGTTTTAAAATGACAAAAGAAAATCTAAAATAACGCACATGCGTATAATTATTCTAGATTTTGATATATATTGACATATTTTTTTTTTATAATTATTGAGCAATTTGAGCTTTGACATATATTTTTTTTATAATATATTGACACAATAGATATACTATTTTTTTATTAGATTTAGAATACATCAACAAATAACAAATCAATAATGAATGAATAAAAAAATAATATATATATTATATCAAAATTTTGAAAAAGAATTTGAATCACAATNAACAAAATTTATTACTGAATAAGCCGGGCAGAGACCTCCACGTATTCTTTGAAATCTGATGGAGTTTTCGGAATCACGTGCTCGTCCCAAACACCAGTACTAACATAAACGCCGTGCTGATGGGCTAGGTCAATCACTTGCTTGATAGTAGCCTTTGGCATCAAGCTGTAAGAATCTCCGGATAACTTCAACCCATCAACATATTCCCCTCTAGATTCAAAAATATCCTGCAATAAACATTCCAAAATAGCACAACTAATTACAGCTAGGTCAATTAATAAAAGAAAATTGTAGCGACATAGGGAACATGGTAATGGATAGTAATGATCAAAAGACAACCTTGTAAGCGGAATTGGAGAAAAAAGAGTGTGACGAAGTGAAAGGAAAATCGTGTTACCTGAAGAAGGTTGTGGGAGAAAGGACTGAAATTGGGGATTGGAATCTCGGTGACGCCGAAACGACGAGGCTTGTCGAGACGATCCTCGTTAAACGCGTACATCTTCTTCCATAGGGACTCAGCCATTGTTAGGTAGTTACGAGAGAGATTCCAGTTCCGTTGTTTCTTAGCTTTGGATTTTCCCTTCCTTTCTCCCAAACGCGATCTATCTTACCTGAGAAAGAAGATAGGAGTAGTTATCGAGAGAACAGGGGAGAATGATGTAGCTGGTTCTAGAAAACGCTTGAAATATAAAGACTGTAACAGGTATTGCTATTCGTCCAACACAAGAACGACGACGCTGCTACACGTGTTTATAATGTAATAATTTAATTAGTTGAAAAAATAAAATTTAATATAATTTAACTTTTTTTAAGTTATGAAATGTTTTTTTTATTCAAATTATTTTGCAATTCGCACATATCGATGTATGTTGTTTTGTGTTTTTTTAAGTAATAAATGTATATCATATTATTATAAGAGATTTATAAATTGAGGAAATAGAAATGTTAGATGATATAGAGAAAATATAAGGAGTAGATGATTAAAAATATAAAAATTAAAATTAGATAATAAAAGAATGTATAAAGTAAAAGTATTAAAAAAGGAAAACAGTATATTTTTAGAAAATGAAAATGTTAGACAATGCAGAACAATATAAGTGTAGGTTATGTAAAATTTCGGGTATGTATGTTATATAAATAAAGTGCATATTAATGTATAATATGGATATTTTATATTTCTTATAAGATACAATCTTTGATGATATAAGAATAATTTTAAAAGATTATAGTGCATGAGAATTATATTTAAGGTAATTTTCTTATTTTATCTCAGGATTTTACAGGATTATTTAAGTTTGAAATTTTAAAAGATTTTTACAAACAGAATAAAAAAGTTAAAAAAAAATATATTTTTATGTAGATCACTCAGTCAGCCAAAGGACTGGACATCTCGTGAGAAAATAATGGATCAATCTGAAAATTAATTTGAACAATAACAATTATTAATGAGCAGTTAATGAAAATAATAATCATTGATTCACAATTAATATGAATAATGTCATTTATTAGTGATTAATAAGTCAAACATAATGGTAGGCTCATTATAATAATTTATAAATATATGTGTGACAAAGATAAGTAATTAACTTTAATTACTAATCTTTATTACAAGATTATTAAGCAAAGTCGCGTGAGAATGTCTTATGCAAGCATTCTCCTTACGGCTAGGACAAAGAAAAGAAAGAGAATGGTGTAACATGGATGATGGAACAGATAACTTTGAATGCTTTGAGTTAGAGATCCCAACCATACCAAAACAATATCTATGCGGGAAAGTAGTTGAATAATAGTTGAATAATTGAGTGAGAGATGATAGAAATTTTTTTCTTAAGAATCATTCACAAAACTTTTGTTTAGAAATAAAAATTTTATTTCAATGTGAATTGTAAATGCATAAAAAATACTTGAATCATTTTAATTAAGAAGTGCTTCAAACGTCTTTAGTGAAAATAACTTCCGAGGATTGTTTATAAATAAATTTTTATTTATAAATAAAAGTATTATTTTAACGAGTCCTATAAATGACTTGTTTAATTTAAAGAAAATGTGTATAAATTGATGAAAGTTGTTCATTATAAATAACTCTGTGTCAATAAAACTTGTATTAAATTGATATTTTTATATTTAAACAACTTTTATTGGAAAAATTGTTTCGATTTACTTGAAACAACTTCGAACTGGTCAAAGGTGACAATCCAAATTTAATTAAAAAAAATAGTTGAAACAATTTACAACAATTAACTTTAAATTAAAAATATAAATTTCTTAATAGTTTGAATTTCTTTAAATTTTTATAATAATACAAATTTGACTATAAATAAGTTAAAATATATTGTTTTCCAAGGAGTGTGGTTGAATGTTTCTTTCCATATCACTCAATATATTAATTCTAGTGGCCTATCAAATTTATATGTTTTTCAATCCGTTTTAAATGTTTGACTATTTATATATTAATTTATTGTTAATAAATTTGATGAATAATTTACTTATATTATGAATCAAAGTTACAAAATTTTTTAAATTATTGATCTCAATCAAGAGTTTCTACATGTCTTTTTGGTGATGATGGATGAATCAAAAAGATAAAAGAATGATAGATGTGTGTGAGGTTCCCTTGGTGACTCTGCTTTCCGTGTCCCTCATGGAAGGAATATTGGAGAAAGGAAAAGAGAAACGAAGAATAAAGTAAACTTGAAGAGGAAAGCAACTTTCACCCATAGATCACAGCTAATTTCATGCATATATCATAATATGCACCAAACCTTTATTCCTATTCCTCTATTAAATATGACACTGCTCCACTATTAAAGTAAGGAGTTATGAACAAGTTATCTGCCTTGCCTTGAATTTTGTGAAAATGGCCCAAAACTATGGCTTCCTTGTCTGCATTCTTGTCTTGGTGTTGGATGTTGCAGCTGGCATACTTGGAATTCAAGCAGAAATAGCCGAAAACAAGGTATATATCCGAATTTTGAATGTTGGTGACAGAAGAGAAGTCTTAGTTATCATGTTTTGCGATGGAAACAGGTTAAGGAGTTGAAGATGTGGGCACTGGAGTGTAGAGACCCCAGCTTCGGAGCCTTCAAGCTAGGAGTTGCTGCTTCCGTTCTCTTGGCCTTTGCTCATGCATTTGCTCACTTGCTTGGTGGGTGCATTTGCATGCGCTCAAAAGAAGAATGCGAAAGAGCCACAGCCAATAGACAATTAGCAGTGTCTTTTTTCTTGTTATCATGGTATATATGTCTTTTACAACACGACATTTCATATGTTACCATGTTGATACTGAAGTGGTGTTGATTGATTGCAGGATGGTTTTGGCAATTGGTTTCTCCTTGCTGATATTAGGGACCTTAGCCAACTCAAGATCAAGAGAATCGTGTGGAATGTCAAATCGTCGTTTTCTATCGATTGGAGGGATTTTGTGCTTCGTACATGGGTTGTTCACCGTTGTCTATTATGTCTCTGTAACTGCCACAAGGAGGGAAGAAAAGAGACAAGGAAACCCCATTGTTAGCCACCCTTAAACACCATTCTCTTTCTTATACCATCACACCATCATTAGATAAGAAATGTACCATTTAACTTCTCATTTTCATTACACTGTTACATGAATGAGTAATCTCACTTTATTGTTTAGTAGACTTCCATATTTTTAGGACTCAATGCTTCATGACTGTGTTATACTTTTCTTAAATTAGTAACTCAAATCTTTAGTTGTAATGTAGTTTTAAAATGACAAAAGAAAATCTAAAACGCACATACGTATAATTATTCTAGATTTTGATATATATTTATTGAGCAATTTGAGCTTTGACATATATTTTTTTTATAATATATTGACACAATAGATATGCTATTTTTTTATTAGATTTAGAATACATCAACAAATAACAAATCAATAATGAATGAATAAAAAAATAATATATATATTATATCAAAATTTTGAAAAAGAATTTGAATCACAATATTTTATTTCGTAATTTGCACCTTAAAAGTGCTCCAAAGTCACCAATGAACAATAATGGTTTGGAATACAAATGAATTTACTCACATCGATAATATCCGTAACTTTACATTTGCCTTTTGATTGAGTCTGGAAAGTGAATATATAACGGTCGCTATAATTCACTGCAAGGTATTTTGACAATGATTTGTTTGCGGAAAGATGAAAACCTTTTTTTTTCTTATAATGCTAAATTTTAAACACCTGATGCACGTTGAAGGGAGATTGTTTGACAATTCTATATTTGAAAAGAAAATATTAATTTGGCCAATAAATATACATTTTTATTTACTTATTTTTTGAATTATGAGATAATTATCTTTCATAAATTACTATCCACACATATTCTTAAAAAAGTAAAACGAAAATTGATGTACTCAATGCATAAAACAAATGGACAATTTAGCCATTTTAATGTAACGAAAATGGATTTGAAATATACAAGATACACAAGCAACGAAAGGAAATTTTTGAAAATTATAAATTTAATAAATTGAAAACTTACATTTACGTTAACTTTATTATCAACCAAAAGCCATTGTGGTCCAATTTTTTTATTAAAAGGAAATGGCTAAACGACTATCCACATACCCAGAAGTCTCAAAATTAGTTTTGAAAAAATTAATATAACAACAAATACTATTAACAAAGAACAACA